TCTGTAATTCTGCATTTCAAATAAACCTTTAAAATAAAACAAAACAAAAAAGCAGTGCCATTATCTACAGTGTGCCAGGCCCTTCACTGTTCCTGGTGCCCCTGTAAAATGCCACCCTCATGGAGAGAGGACCGGGAGCCTCCCTGAGGTCACCTGCTGAGCGGCAGACAGGAAGCGCCCACAGCCTAGGACACACACCGCCAAGCCATCTCTCTCTCTCACACTCATTCAGTGGCTACAGGAATTGCCACGGGCCTGGTGGCCAGTCCAGGTACAGAGCAGCTGGCAGGAGCCAGACAGACAATGCCGACTCCCCACTTCTCCCCCAGGCCTAGAAGAGCCAGGGACTCCTCCTCACAGGGGTCTCATCAGCACAATCGGGACAAGGCCTCGGCCCTGCGAGCATGAATTCTGTGGGGGAATATAAGGAAGTGCTGCTCTCAAGGCACACCCCAAAGCCAAACAGATGTCAAGCCAGCCCCCAGCAGGCAGCGGCTAGGTCGAGTCAGAAAACCCAATTTCTCCGCGGAGCCGGCTGTGGAGACACGAACCACATACTCCTTGGCACCCCACCTCTAAGACTGCTAGTAATGGAACCATTCACTCAGTGACGTGCCAGACCATCTGGGGAGCACCTGGCATGTCTTGGCTCGTGCACCCCAACAAGCTCAAGAGTAGGCTGTCACAATCGAAGCCAGCCATGCCCCTGCTCTATGCTCACACTCCACTGCCTCCCTCCATAGAACAAGCCTTCCTACGGCCATACCACCCTGAACACGCCCCATCTCGCCCGGTCTCGGCAGCTGAGCAGGGTCGGGCCTGGTCAGTACTTGGATGGGAGAACGAGCCTTCCCAGCTGGTTTGCTCCAAGGAAGATTTAGTGTGCTAAAGCTTCTAGCAGAACGCCTGACACGAGGGTAGTGCTCCGCAAGCCCAGAAGCCGCAAGTCCTTATGCCGAAACACTGATGTATAAAAACGCTTGGTCTGACAGTGGCACTGCTCCAGCTGCCTGCACCCTTCAAGCTTCTGCACCCCACCCTTCCTGGTGGGTCCTCCTGCAAACGGAAACAGGAAAAGCTCCTGTGCTGAGGGCCTGGTGGCTCAGCCCCTGCGGGAAGCAGAGCGGGTGTCCCACACACCAGTCAAGGGTCTCTCACTCCAGGCAGTCCACCTCTCGGGCTTGTGTTTCCTCGTGAGGGTCAAAGATTGTACCCTGACCTAAGTCCCGCTTCTGAATCACAGTCCAAGGGCCCAACTTCCACGGCGCCCCAAGGCTGCCAGCGAGATGGCAGAGCACTTCAGCGGGCAGAGCAACAGGTGGCATGCAGCCCCTTGCCACAGCCATGGTGGCCACAGAGCAGGCACCCCCCGAAGCCAGTACAAGCCCCAGCTTTCTCTCTGGTCTCTTGCCACAGCCCCTGCCAGCACACATGGGGCCTACTACATAGTAAGCCGTAGGTTACAGAGGAGCCCCAAAAAGGCTCTCTGGGCTTAAGTGACCACATCTGTGCACACTCCGGGGTCAGCGCTGAATCCCGCGTCTTTCCACGCCAGAAGACCAGGCCCCAGGTCCCCACACAGCTCCTGACCCAGAACTCTAAATGATGCAATTCCAAGGCAGACAGACGCACGCCCGCACGGTGGAAGGCGAGGTGCTCCAAGCCGTGAGAGCACTTCTCAGTGGTAACCATATCATCACTGAGGAAACGCAAGTAAATCCCAGTGGCCTACAGAGTCCACCTGCCGATGCCCAACTGGGAAGACAAGGTGGTTTCAACAAGAACTGTGCAATTCACCCAAGGTCAAATGTACTCAAGAGTCTCACACACTCCTTCCCCTGACAGGTAACTGAAAAGTACCTAATTGTGCCACCAGCAGGTTCAGTGTGAGTCCCACGCGATCCACTTCCTATCCAGTCTCCTACTGATGCTCCTGGGAAGGTCTGGGTCCCTGGATCCCTGCCACCCCCGTGGGAAACCTAGAGGGTCTGTCTCCACTGCAGCCATTTGGAGAATGAGCCAGTAAAAGCGTGCTTTGCATCTCTATTCTAGCAAATGAGTAAATCTGTTTAAAAACCCCCTTTCAGGGATTGGCGCAGAACCTCCTCTGCCAGTACAAACGGAGCCCGCTGCTCCCTGTCCCATCCAGCTCCCTGCCTGTGGCCTGGGAAAGCAGCAGATGATTCTGGTCCTTGGGTCCCTGCGCCCACGTGGGAGACCCAGAGAAGCCCCTGGCTTCAAACCAGCCCAGCCTCAGCCACTGTGGCCATTTGGTGGGTGAACCAACAGATGGAAGAGCTTCCTGTTTCTCTTCTTTCTGTAACTCCTTCAGATTGAAGAATAATAAAAGACTATTTCCATAAGAAAAAAAGGTACTAAAAGACCACAACAGAGATCTTAGCTTTCTCATGGACGGTGCAGGCTTAACTGTCAGTGAGCCAACAGAGGTAAACTTGATCATGAAGTAGTCAGAAATGACTTGTACACCTAGGGGACACTAAGAGTACATTACTGAAAGGATGGACAAGAATCCCAGTGGCTAAACTCATGAACATAGACGCATCCCAAAACACAGCACCCTAAGCCATTTCCTGTAGTCCCAGGGTCATGGCCAAACAATCTCTGTCCTCAGGGCTCAGCAGTGTTCAATGCAGCAAGTTCCACCTCTGCCTGCGATGCTAGAATCCCATATCAGCGCTGGATCAAGTCTTGCAGCTCAGCTTCCAGCCCAGCTCCAACTAATACACCTGGGAAAGCAACAGAAGTCGGCCCAAGTGCTGGCGTTCCTGCCACCCACCTGGGAGACCCGGAGTAAGTTCCTGGCTCCTGGTTTGGCCTGGACCAGTCCTGGTTAGTTCAGCCAGTTGGGGAGCAAACCAGCAATTGGAAAATGTCTCTCACATTCTCCCTCCTTGTCTCTGTCCCTCTGCCTTACACTTCCTGCCCTCAAACAGCTCATATCCAGCCCATGCTACGCCAGCCACCCAACACAGCACCACTTCATGACTAGACTGCCAAGGGACGGCAGACACGGCTCTTCCCACACACCCTAAGAACCCCGTCACTAGTTCTCTCGAGGTCGCTAAGAAACAGGTGCAGGGGACGGGGCACAGCGGAGAGCCTGGCAGATGTTGCTCAGCTGGAAGACCAGCTGAGCAGCATCGTGAAGCAGCCTCAGTGTCGTCACCCATGAAGAGCAGACGGCGAGCACAGGGATGGACCAAGCCAGGACAGGCAAGCAACCCAGCAGTGGGCAGCAGAGGGCGGGCCACTGTCCAGGCAGGTGAGAGCCCAGTACACGGCCCTGGGTGTCAGGCACTCCTGCATGACTGCAGACTGTCCCCTCCCTTGCCTGCCACTCTGCCCTGGGCAGCCCCACCTGGCCACTCCACCCATCCTCCCTGGCAGCAGCAAATGTCAGGGTGTCCTCCACCCAGGCCTGGGGCCGCTCCCACCCCTAAGGCTCCCTGACCAATGCTAACGGCCCCAGGAACATTCAGAGCGCCACAGCCCACAGGCCTCATCATTGCACAGGAAGGCACCAATAAACAACAGCTGCCTTAGCTCAGCAGCAACACAGGAGTTAACCAAGGAACCGGAACCCTCACAGCCCACTGAGGCCCAAAGTCCACAGACAACCATGTGCGCCTGCACTGGACCGGGCCAGACCACTCACGGCCGTATGCAGCAGGTGGCCAGCCTGAGCTGTCCCGGTGTTCTTCAAAGCTTCCTTCAAGTCCTCCTGCCCTGCCCAGGGAGGCACCGCTTCGCCTCACAAAAACTTCCCCAGTGGATAAGAGGTAGCAGGCTCAAGTGCGGGAAGGCCAGGCTCCTGCAAACGCCAGGACTGCACCTGCCTCTCTTCCCAAAACAAACAGCGGGGGTGGAGCTGGCTCACCTGATCGGACAGCCCTCCATAGTCGGCAGTTCCAACCCTCACAAGCTGACAATTCAGGGGGAACGGGAGGCTGCGCCTGCTGGGATGCATGGTGCCCAGGCCATGTGTGGGCCTGGCGGCGCCCCCCAGGGCCGCGGAGGGCCTCACAAGGGCCTCTATGCGCTCATCCCTGCCCAGTCGGCTGCCTCTCCGCTCACGTCTCTGCGCCCACTCACCCCAGCCGTGGGGCGCCGGCTGCCCCACAGGATGCCCTACACCCTCACATCGCGGTCCAGGCCCTGGGCTGCCTTCCGGGCACACAGATGCCCGCCTTTCCTTCCCTCGCTTGCTCGCAGGAGGCCTCCGTGAAGGCTGAGAAAGGCCAGCCCCGGGATCACCGCTCCTCGGCTGCAGGGAAGGCGCAAGGTGGGCGCCCTGGGTAAGGCGGACAGCTGGGTCGGGGACAGGGCAGGGAGCAGGGCCCTGGACAGAGGTCAAGCCGAGGCCGGAGGAGGCCGGCATAGGCTACGCTGAGAGTGCGGAGAAGTCCAGGAAAGTGGGTTTTCAGGGAACACGACAGGGGAGCCCGACTTAGGACCACTGAGGCAAGAGGAGGCCGAGGCAGGGCTCCTGGAGCAGAAGCTGATGGGGTCCAGACCCAGGCCCCGCAGACGGGAAGGGAGTTTGGCAGGACGGGGGCCTAGGCTGGGAGCAATGACCGCCTGGCCTGGCTGGGCCGCAGACACCAGGAGGAAGAGGAGGAGGAAGGAGACCACGGCTGGGTCGCTGCAGGTCGTGCCAAGACTGGTCCAGGAGGGTGGGATCGTGACTTCGGGGGGGTGGTGGGTGAGACCGGCCTAGGCGCAAAGGGGGCTCCAACCTGGGCCGAGGCGGGGTGAACGCGGGCGACTGGGGGTCAGCGCCCGGTGCAGCCACCCACGCCCGCCGGCCCCTCCCGAGCACCGAGGGGTGGGGTCCAGCTAGGGTGCCGGACCCGCCCCTCCCCCACTCGGGGCACCCCCCGCCCCTGGGGGGGCCGGCGTGGGGAGGGGAGAGCCACGCGTGCTCCGAGCGGCCCGCGGGCTGGAAGAGGCGGACGGGGATGGGGAGCGGGGCGCTTTACCATGGCGGCGGCGGCGGCGGCAGTCCCGGTCCCGGCGTCTGTGGCTCTCCCCCCCGCAGCAGGGCCCGGCGCTTCCACTTCCCCGGGTGCCCAGGAGTGAACATCCGGGTCAGCGGCCCCCTCCCCCCGCGCCGGGCCGCCGCCACCTTCCTTCCCCGCCCCGGCCGGGCCCGGGCCCGCCCCCTACGCCGCCAGCGCCGGGCCAATGAGCGCGCGGGGCCGCGGCCATCGCCAAGTATGGAGCGCGGCGCGGAGGGCGGGACGCCGGATGGCCGAGCGAGGCGGAGCTCCGCACGGGGTGGGGTGAGGGGGCGGGGGGTTGGTGTGGTGGTCCGGGCGCTCCCGGGCTCCGGGGAGACCTGCACCGCCTCTCGCGCCCAGCTCCGGCGGCTGCAGAGGCCGAGGCGTGCCCGGGGGACCGTGCCCCCCATGGAGGCTGGAGGGGCAGGTTGGGGATGCGGAAGGCAGACAGCGGGGCGGGGAGGGGACCGCCCCATTCGGGCCCCACCCGGCACGCGCGCCCCGGCCTGCGGCGCACCCGGAACTGGTGCGGCCCGGCCCTGAGCGAAGGCGCAGCGGGCAGACACCCCCCACCACCACCACCCGAGGATCTCCCCGCGCCTGTGCGCCTGAGCCCGGTGTCTAGCATGGATGAGCCTGGCGCTGCACCTGCTGCGTGCCAGGCCTTGCTTTAGGCGCCAAAGACCGCAGGTGGATGCAAGTCAAGTTCCCTGCCCTCCCGGCTCCCTGGGACAGCCTAGTGCGCTACGCTGGTGGAGAGATGAGAACACTGGGCTCTGTAGATGGCTCCCGTAGGGCCGTAAGATCGCTCAAAAGTGTCTTCTCTGCCTCCTTCGCTCCCTCCCCAGATACTCGCTGGTGCTCTGCAAGGTGGGAGACCCGGGATGCTAGACCTGATAATACTTCCTGCTCTACCTTGCTTGTTCCCTAGTTAGGATTAAATCACTTATGTGGGCATAGGAGCCTGTGTAATAAATGACAAGTTTTTCTTCCATGAGCCAGGCCCTGTCCTAGACCTGCTTGGCAGACAGCTAGTGGCTGAGTAAAAGCTTACCCAGGTAGCCTGTGGCATAAAAACCTACAGGTAAGCCCCATGAGAGTAGCATAAAAACCGGTATTACCGGATTTCAGAGAAAGGCGTGGCCCCTAGGAAATCTTTGACTGGGTAAATATTTATCGGAGACCGACTCTGTGCCAAGCTCTGGGCTAGGTTCTGGGGAGTCAGTGATCCAAAGGGCTCCTGTTGTCCTGGAGCCGGAATGTTATCCAGGAGAGGATCAACTGCCAAGACAATCCTCAAAAAGCCTATGGGAAAATGGGATTGAAAGATGAGTTTGGGAGGCCAGCGCTGTGGCATAGCAAGCTAAGCCTCCACCTATAGTGCCAGCATCCCCTACGGGCACTGGTTCAAGTCCCAGTTGCCCCACTTCTGGACCAGCTCCTGCTAATGGGCCTGGGAAAAGCAGCAGAGGATGAGCCACTTCCTTAGGCCCTTGCACCCATGTGGGAGACCTGGAAGAAGCTCCAGGTTTCAGACCTACCCAGCTCTTGCCAGTTGAGAAGTGAACCAGCATATGGAAAAAATCTCTCTCTCGCTCTCCTTCTCTGTCACTCTGCCTTTCAAATAAAAATAAATCTTAAAAATAATAATGGAAATCAACTTGGCCCAGTGGACCTGCTTGAGAGCCTGGGTTGAATGTTGGATTCCTGCCAGTTCATCCCAGAAGGCAGCCGGTGATGGCCCAAGTGCCAGGGTTTCTGCCACCCATGTGGGAAACTCAAAAAATGACTTGTGCATTCCGGGATTTGGTCCTGGCCCAGCCCTGGCTGTTAAGGGAATCTGGGGAAATGAACCAGTGACAAAAATCTGTTTTCTCTTCCTTTGGCCTTAAAAAAAGAAGAAAAAAGATAAGTGGATTTGGAGGGGGTAAGAAAAGTAAGTTTTTAAGGGGCAGATGTTTGGCACAGCAGTTGGGTCGCTGCTTTGGGTGTCTCATCCCATAGTGGAGCGTGTGGGATCAAGTCCCAACTTCACCTTCAATCCAAGCTACCTGCCGATGTGCCCTCTGTGAGGCAGCTGATGACGGCCCTTCCACCCCGTGCAAGCCCTGGGCAGAGTTCTGGGCTGCCTGCCTGGCCCCAATTCTGCCACTTGAACTAGTTGGCAATGAAGGATAATCTCTCGTTTTGCCTTTCAAGTAAACTTTTTTTTAAAAGCTGTTCGTGGGAAAACAAAAAGGTAAGCTTATAATGCATGCATACCTTTTTCATGATAGATTTCTCTGTGAATGTTCAGCAGGCCTCTCATGGTGTTGGGCGGTAAGAAATGTGGAGAGGTGTGAAGAATGAGAGGACTGTGTGGGCCGGCCAGCACAGTACGGCGGTGTCTCGGTGGGTGGTTCTGCGAACTGCCTGACTTAGTAAGTAACATTTCATCAGACAACAGAAGGGAAGGAGGGAGCAAGCCGTGGGGGTGGCAGAGGCATACAGAACAGTCAGGGCAAGGACCCCGCTTTGGGATCAGAAACTTAGTTGTGTTCAGGGAACAACGAGGACGCCAACGAGGCTGAACTAGGTTGCTTTAGAATTTGTGCAGAGCAGGGACATGGTTCAACTTTGCCCCGTGAAACTGTCAGGAGGCTGCTGTATTGTAAATGTGCTGGAGAGGGCTTGGAGCCTTAGGAAAGGCCCTGTTCCTTTGAGGCATTTTTATTGTTTAAAGAAACAACAACAAACATGGATGCAGCAGTTAAAACAGCACTTGAAAAGCCCATATCCTTGGGGAGTGTCTGGATGCCTCTCTGAGCTCCGCTTCTCATTCCAATTTCCTGCTGCACACCCAGGGAAACAGCAGCTTAGCTCAAATAGTCGAGTCCCTGCTAGCCACACGAGAGACCAGGAATGACGTTTGGGCTTTGAATTTTGGCCTTCCCCAGCCACTTGCCTATCAAATAAATTAAAAATAGATATATACTTTTAAAATCACTGATAGGATTGATGTTGTTGCTCAGTAGGTAAAGCTACTGCCTGCAGTGTTGGCATCCCGTGTGGAGTCCTGGCTGCTTCACTTCGGAGCAACCTCCCTGCTAATGGCCTGGGAAAAGCACCAGAAGATGACCCAAGTGTTTGGGCACATGCCACTCAGTTGCTAGACCTGGGGGAAGCTCCTGGCTTCCAGCTTCAGCCTGGCTCAGCCGCAGCCATTGTGGCTATCTGGGGAATGAATCAACAAATGAGAGTTTGATATGTCTCTCTCTCTCTCTCAGTAAATCTGACACTTTCAAAATTAAAAGTCTTCAAGGATGATACTAAAACCTTTAGCTTGATTAGCAATGAGAGAATTTGCCCTATTGAAAAAAGGATGTATTTGAAAAAGTGATAGGGGGAAAGGGAAGAAAAGGGAGAGTGAAAAAGATGGTCCATTAGTTGGTTTACTACTCAAAGGGCTACAACTATAGGGCTGGGCCACACCCAAGCAAGCAGCCACAGGCTCCCCCATGGGCTCAGGGTTCCACTGCCGTAGACATCTTCCACTGCTTCCTCAGGTATGATAGCAAGGAACTGGACTAGCAGAAAAACAGCCAGGATTCTTAACTGCCACTCTGATAATGGGGTGTCAGCATTGCAAGGGGTGGCTGAACTACATATGCCAGAGTGCCAGTCCCAATCTGCCATTTCTTGAATTGGGCAAGACTGTAGGAAAAACGGGATTTTTTTTATTGGGAGTAGGGAGAGGGTAAGGGGATGAAATAATCTTTGATGCAAATTTTGTTGGAAATGGTTTAATAGCAATGTAAGGAAACTGTTATGGGAGCAATGGTGACAGAAATACAAGAATGCCAGCTTGAGGCCTGTGCTGCACGTTAGGCCACAGCCTGCAGCGCTAACATTCCATATTGGTGTCAGTTCAAGTTCAGGCAGTGCCAACTGCTCAATTTCTACTCCAGCCCCCTACTAATGTACCTTAGAAAGAAGCAGAGGATGTTGCAACTCCTTGAACCCATGCATCCATGGGTTCAAGGCTACTTGAGAAGCTCCAGGCTACTGGCTTCATTCTGGCCCAGCCCTAACCATTATGGCTGTCTGGGGAGCAAGCCAAGTGAATGGAAGATCTGTCTTCCTCACCACTCTATTCTCTCTCTCTCATTCTCTCTCTCTCTCTCTCTGTATCTCTACCTTTCAAATAAATGAATATATCTTTAAGAGCTAACACTGTGGCATTGTAGCCTAAGCCTTTGCCTGTGGTATCAACATCTCATCACCTTTTGAGGGCAGTACCTTTATTATTCCATTTTATATGCAAGAACTAAGTCACAGAGGGACTAAGAATCTTGCCCAGGATCACATAACTACTGAGCCTGAAACTAGGTAGACTGGAATCAGAGCCCACTCTGACAATCACGGGTCTAATGATGTTGCTTCCATCCTCAAAAATCTGTGAAAGCTAAGTTACAGTCAGAGGTGCTGCCCTGCTGCCTGCTCCATCCCTGGACTCCTTTGTGCTGTCTCTGGTGCACCTGCTCCTTCCTTCCTGTACCAACTGTCATCTTCTGCTCGCTGATAGCCTGATTTCCTCATCATTTCAACCCATGTTGCAAGAGCAGAGTCGGGGTTCCATGCTGACGTGGCCCTTGTCTGCTTCAGCTTCTACTCTGACTGGTGCCTTGTGTGTTTCATACTTCACAATCTCAACATGGAACCCAAGTGCCCACGCATCTTCTGTTTTCCTTCTTTTGTCAGAGTCGCAGAGAAAAGGGAGACATCTTCCATCTGCTGGCTCACTCCTGGAAATAGTCACAAATAGGAAGGGTTGTATTAGGTTGAAACCAGGAGCCAGGAGCTTCCTCCAGGTCTCCCACACAGCTGCAAGGGCACGACTTGGGTCATCCACTGCTGCTTTCCCAGTCCATAAGCAGGAAGCAGGATTGGAAGTGAAGCAACTGGGACTCAAGCTTGTGCCCATATGGGATGCCAGCACCACAGGCAGAGATCCGGCTTACTATGCCATGGCACCACACATCCTTTAAAGATAAGAGTTCATTGGAAAGCCACTCCTAGATGCAGCCAGTATTGCTGTGAGCCAGGAGTCACGTGGCCCTAATTTTGG